GTACCCCTGAAGTAGAGTTCACCCTAGTCTCTACTTTGAAGAGTCCTTTGTCTAGGATCTCTTTTTTAGCCTTTGGGGGAACAGGCGGCATGCTGCGGCCGCCTGCGAGAAGAGGCGGATCCCTATTCCACTTGTTAAAACGTTTGTTCAGCTCCGTGTCTGAACCCTCGATAATAAGGAAGGTGTTCCTCCAATCCTTCCATTTGTTCGCCTTACCTTTTGTCATAAGGTAACCCCTATGGCTTGTTAGTTGGTACCAGCCGGTACCTCCCGACTTAGGGGTCCGGCTGAGATAGTTCATATGGGCGAAAGCCTCAAAGCTTGGCTCCACCCCGTACATTTCGCACCCGGCCACATAGCCGAGTACGTTTACCCAAGAGTTGGGGGCTAACTGCCATAACCCCAGATCATACCCATCTAAAATCCGCTGAACAGCCGGATGTAATGGGAAGCGCAGTCCAGCTTTGATGGCCGCCACATAGCAGCCAAAGCAGCCGTCACCATAGCTGGTACCAGCCGGCCAGACGACAGTATCTTCTGGATCCGGCACAAACAGTAAAAACTCCGGGCCCATTTTGTGGTTAGCAATAAAGCTCGCCACGTTGTCTCGCATGGTTGCAATCCGGCCCCGGGGTACCCTGCAGTAGTAGGGGGCGTTTTCCTCTCTGTAAGAGGCGGACGGCTCTGCCCAATTATCCCCCTTCTCAACTGCATGAGAACGTCTCGCCTCTTGTAGGCGGCTATGTTTTTCTTCTGAGCCAGAAGAACTGTGGCCAGAAGAGCTGGATTCGGACTCGTCCCCTGACGAGTCCGAAGAGGACGACTCCTCCCCTCTCCTAGAGGGGCCCGCCTCCTCTCCCTTAGAAGGAGCAGAAGGAAAATTAGACATGTCCACGGTAAGATGGGAAGGGAACACCTTGGTCCCTCTCTCAGAACTGTCAGCTTGACAGTCGCCTCGTTCTACATCTGGCGCCTGGTCAGATGTTTCACTAAGGAGCACCCTTTGGGAGGAGCCGTCTGAGTTTGATATCATAGCAGTCTTTTTTGTTCTGGCCATCACGTTCTGCATAGACACAGATACAGTCGGACTTTGTATAAAGGGCAAAGATGGGTCCAGAAAAGGGCAGGCGGCACTCCTAGTCCTAGATTCAGCCGTCCCCGGTGACCGGCTGATCACTAACTTAGGGCGTGTCGTGTGCTTCCATGGTGCCATTTCAAAAAATAAAAAGAAAATTAAGAGTAAGAGAACTGAGTTACCTGAACGAGTGACGGTTGATGAAGTCCTGAAAGTTCGGGTCAGTCGGCTTGTCAGAACAGGCGGTAGGCAGAAAAAGTCCGAAATGTCAGAGCAAGTTCAGGGGTCCGAATGTTCTCGCAAAAGTTCTCAAATGTGAAAATGACCGAAGTCAGCACTTCCTTTTATAGGCAAAGTGAGAAGGCGAAGGGTCGCTTCCAAATTCAAAATTTGGGCGGGAAAATCTCTCGGCCGTCTGCAAGGTGACACCTGTAACAGGCCGTCGCCTGTCACCGTGCGACACCTGTCACAGGCGACACGTGACCAGTCGCGTGCCACCTGTGAGGGGCAAATGATTAGGGGATTTTTATCCACCAATCACCGTCTGACAAGTGGACCAACCAGGTTCCGCCACGTGTTCTTCACGAAGTCCAACAGGAACCTGCCACGTGTCAATCACAGATACGTCCTCCACGGACCACTTAAGACACGCCACGTGTCCGCCCATGCCAAATGGGAAAACCGGCCATCAAGGCCCAGTCCAGTCTAGAGGCCCGGTCAGCCCTAGGTTTACCTTAAACCTAGAGAGTTGCACGCTTCCCAAGGCTATAAATACTCGATTAATCCTCATTAATCAAAAGAATCGAATAATCAAGAGATCAAGCAGAGAAAAGCAGAGTTATTAACAACCGGCTAATCTCGCTAACAACGCAGATTACCAACACTAAGCACTCTCACCTAGAGAGATCTCATTACTTTAATTTCTGTATTGATTACTCCTTAATCGGGTACTAACTTGACCGTTGGAGGCGGAGCTCTCAGGAGTCTCCGTTATTTTGCAGGTACAGGCGTCCGGTTCCAGTCTCGGAATTGTAACTCTCCCGCAGGACATCAGAAAACCCCGAAACACTTACTTTTTTTTTTTTTTGAGTTAATTAATTTTACAACTTTTGTAAAACTAATCGGTGATCTTTAAATAGGTTTAGTCTGATTAAAAAACCCTATATAACATATTAATCAAAATCTCCATTCTAATTAGTTTGGGGTTTTTAATTTTATTTTCAATAATACAATACCTCCCTTTAATGAAATTAAAATTAGCATTATACGCATCAAATTGATCGAATTAATTATGATCATATTATTATACGCAAGAGGCAAACTGATACCACTGTAGGAACATTGCGATAGCGGAATTTCAGGAACACTTCCTAAACATCTAAAACAGGATCTCATGCATATAAATAATACGAATCACATACAATAGTTAGATATACCTTTAATGCGTGTACTCCTTGTTAGCTTTAGATTATCCTCCTTCGGAGATCCAGAACCTCAATTGTGATTCCTCTACTTGATCCATAAAACCCGAGATGAATCCCACGTATGCTAGTACGGAAGAAGGAGGAAGAAACTTTTCTCTCTTCTCACTTTTTAGGGATACAGTTTTAATATGAGAAGTATTATTGTATTTCTATTCTCTGTAATTGTATATATAATGACTCCTCAAATAACCGCCTGCTTATCCTTTATTAGGCTTGGTGTGCCTTTTCATCTCGTTCTTTTATGTGTGACCTCAAATGACCCGATTACATTTAGCAGCAAGTCCATTAAATATTAGGCCTACAAATCGTAGCTGGTTTCTAGCAAAACATTACAATTCCTAAAATAACCGAATAAATAATCTCCTTAATTAATCCTATATTATATTTAGTAATTGTTGTACTTGATCGAGGGCACTCCTTCACCCCTGCCCTTCCAAATATGCAGGCATCAACAAATTAATCTATAACCATGAACATAAAGACAGTCAAAAGAAGTTTAATTCCAACAAACCCATGGGACCAAGTTCCTGTTAATAAGATGTAGCTTGGATATCATCAAACTTTGAGTAATTGGTGAAGGTGGCGAGTCTGAGTAAGACGAAGGAGATCCGTTTACTGGTGAAGATGAGAGTGGTGGCGAGTTTGAATTAGAACTGGTGCTTGACAACCTCAAAATGCGCTCACTAATAGAACCATGACCATAATAGATTAATAACATTGAAAGGCCGATGTCCATTGGCATCAAGTGCATAATGTTAAGCACCTGCCTCCAGAAGCAACCTCACAGCATCAACAACATTAACAAAACCACCAGATGCAGCACAGTAATGAAGTGCTTTTATTGTCACCACATGACCGGTTAACATCAGTGATGGAGAGAATGAATCAATTTCAGAACATCCATACTGCCGTAAATTGAAGCAACCATCAAGGGAGTTCTATGCTCACAGACTATCTGTTTCGAGCCTTTCAAGCAGGCTTGAATGTATCTACGGTCTCAACAGCCAAGTTATTCATGTCTTTGAAAGGAGGTAACTTACAATGAATTTCACCCGAAAAATTAATCTAAAATCATAAACATAAAACATTTAAAAGAAAGCAAAAGGCAAACTTTGCAGCAAACCCAATAGCTTTTCTAGTTTAGGGTTCGTTTCACCCCATCTTCTTACCAATAATTCCCAGTGTATCTGTGCAGCTGTACAATTCATTAACCATTCAAATTTGATAAATTTATAGGCATGTGACCAAATTCTATAATCAGAAAATTCATATGCCCTAAAAATTATAACCGACACCAAATCCAAAACACTACTTTTTTTTTTTTGAATGATACCCAAAACACTACACTTAAATCTGTTTGTGAACCAAAAACGGAAAAATAAAATTTAAGCAAGGGTTTTTTGTCACAAACACAAGCATATTTCAATACTCAAATTGGGATAAACATGCAATAAAACAAAGCTTATTGGCCAAAAAAAACAAGTTGAAACCCTCTGCAAACATCACAAAAAGCAACTAACTTCTGATTTTCATAAAACGACAAAGCCAGAAGCTTAGAGAAAAACAGAAAAACCATAAAACCCTTCATTATATTTTATAGAAAAATTTAACAGGAATAATCCAACCTTTTGTCCGTTCTCCCATATTAATCCCACGTTTTGATTATTCCTCATTAATCCAACCTTTGCCCCCTTTTTTCTCACAGCAACCCTTGTAGGTCCTGACCGTTATAACCGGTTAGAATGCTGACATGACACTTTATGATTGGTTTTTTGCTTTTTTTTATAATTTACCTTTTTATTTTTATTTTGAGTTGTTAAAAAAAAAAACCACCATCATCTTCTTTCTTCTTTCTCTCTCTTCCCCCATTACCACCATAGTCACCAAACCCACCAGCTGCCACCTTCCTTTTATCTCTCTCCTTCCCCTTCCCCTTCCATGGCCTTCCTTCATTACCACTTCACCTCCCCTTTAACTTACCCACCAATAACAACACCTCTAGCCAGCACCACCAACAACTCCTTCAGCCACCACAAACCTCCAGCCACCACGAACTTCCAACCACCATGTATCTCTAGCCACCATGAATCTCTAAATACCACCTCCAATAACAACTAACTAATTAAGCACAAACCTCACAACCGATGCTGTTTAAAAACCACCCCTTCTACCACCTAAGCATGCGTGCGCCACCCCATCCTCACCACCACAAACCTTAAAACCCCACATAACCACCACCCTTTGCTTCAATCTTGTTGTCGCTATTGTCCACTTCCATGGTCACCATTAACACCATCCACCACACCCTACTTCCACCACCCAGATAGGAAAAAAGCCCACCCTAACTACCACCATGACCCACCGCCACCAAACACCAAAGCCAGCAGCACCTTACCCACACCACCTCACCAAATCAGAAAATCCCATACCCCGCTTCGTTGCACCACCAACCCACAACCACGTTTCTTTGCACCACAAACCAACATCAAATCACTAACATCAACTTCCCAATTAACACAAACAACAATAATGAAACTAATCCAGTAAACAATCACCCACCTTGTTCAAATAAGGAAAAAAAATCCAATATCTTAATCCAACATTAATCACATCAATCAAAAAAAAAATCAATAAAAAATTCAAAAACAAAACCAAAAAATCAGAAATCAATTTTGGAATTTTCACTCTCAATTCATATAAAAAAATTCAAATTGTAGGGGTTTGGGTTTCACTACTATCATTAGTATTGCAATTAGTTGGGGTTTTGAGGTGGTTTTAGGCCAAATAGGGCAGCGACGGGGGTGGGTTGCAGGTGGTCGGAGGAAAAGTTGGAAAGGGATTGATTGTGGTTGTGGGGTCGAGGGAAGAAGAAGATGGATGGTTGTGTTTGAAGGTAGAAAGGCATTGAAGAAAGGGAGGAAGATAAAGAGGGGAAGCCATTGTTATGGTTGGGGCTGCCATGAGTGTCATCCATTGATGTCAGTAAGGAGATAGGAGGAGGAGAGATTAAAAGGGGAAAAAAAAACGAAAAAAAAAAACTTACATGATCGGTAACCGGTCACGTAGGCTTGTTAGGAGAAAATAGGTAGTATTGGATTATTCAAGAATAATTCAAAGGTGGATTGTTTTGGGAGAATAGAGAAAAGGTAGGATTATTCTTGTTAAATTTTCCTATTTTATAAATTAATCCAACCTAAAATACAGAAATTTTTTTAAAAAATTATCTGAAAACTTTGTTAGTAATGCTGCAACCTCTCTCTCCACACTGCTCTTCACCACCATTTTTACCCAAAATCCCAAACCAATTAAACTTCGAGCAACACTACCGCCATCTCTGCGACCTTCTCCTCACCTTTACCCGCTCTCGGGCACTTCCGAAAGGTCTCCAAATCCATGCCCACGTTCTCAAATTAGGCTTCCAATCCATCCCTCTTGTTTCCCACCATTTGATCAATTTTTATTCAAAAACCCAGTTTCCTGCCTTTTCCCGCCAAATTTTTGATGAAGCCCCTTTTAAGGTTTCTACTACCTGGAGCTCGGTTATATCTTCTTTTGCTCAGAATGAGCTTCCTTGTACTGCTCTTGAGTTCTTTTGTAGGATGATTGGAACTGGGTTTCGGCCTGATGATCATACGTACCCAAGTGCGATGAAGTCGTGCGCGATTTTGGGGAGGGTTGATGTGGGGAGATTGGTTCATGGGGTTGTGATCAAGACTGGGTATGAGGAGGATGTGTTTGTGGGGAGTTCTATGGTGGATATGTATGCTAAATGTGGAGAAATTTGGGATGCACGGAAGGTGTTTGATAAAATGCCTGAGAGAAATGTAGTGTCTTGGACTGGAATGATTTTTGGGTATGCTCAGTTGGGTGAAAATGAGGAGGCACTCAAGTTGTTTAAGTATGCTGTAGTGGAGGGTGTAGATGTTAATGATTTTACGTTCTCGAGTGCGGTTCACGTTTGTGGTAATTCAACCCTTTTGGAACTAGGGAAGCAAATTCATGGCATGTGCTTGAAGAAGAGTTATGATTCGTCGGGGTTTGTTGGGAGTGGTTTGATCTCGTTGTACTCAAAGTGTGGGATCATAGAAGGCGCATATCGTGTATTCGATGAGGTGAAGACAAAGAATGTTGGATTATGGAATTCTATGTTGATTTCTTGTGCTCAACACGCTCATTCTTCGAAGGTATTGGATTTGTTTCGTAGTATGGAAAGTGAAGGAACAAAGCCGAACTTTATCACCTTTTTGTCTTTGCTTTATGCTTGTAGTCATGCAGGATTGGTTAAGGAGGGCCAATTTTACTTTCATCGGATGAAGAAGTATGGCATTGAACCAGGGCATCAGCATTACGCCACCTTAGTGGATTTGCTAGGCCGTGCAGGAAAGTTGCAGGAGGCGCTTTCAGTTATTAAGGAGATGCCCATTCAACCAACTGAGTCTGTTTGGGGTGCTTTATTGACTGGCTGCCGACTACACGGCAACACTGAATTAGCAGCATATGCTGCAGACAAGGTTTTTGAGTTAGGTAATGTGGGTTCTGGCCTATTTGTACTGTTATGTAATGCCTATGCAGCAGCTGGGAGACTCCAAGATGCAGCCAAAGTTAGGATGATGCTAAGGGATAGTGGTATTAAGAAGGAAACAGGTTTAAGTTGGCTTGAGGAAGGCAACAAGGTTCACACATTTGCTGCCGGGGACAGATGTCATCCGAAATCCCAGGAGATATATCAGAAATTGGAAGAAATAGGGGAGGAATTGGAGCGAGCTGGCTATATAGCTGACACTAGTTTTGTATTGCAACAAGTGGATGATGATATCAAAAAACAAACAATTAGGTATCACAGTGAGAGGTTAGCAATTGCTTATGCGTTGATCAGCTTCCCACCCGACAGGCCTATCCGGATTATGAAAAATTTGCGTGTATGTGGCGATTGTCACACTGCAATCAAGTTTATGTCAAAGTGCACTCGAAGAATAATTATTGTGAGAGACAATAACAGATTCCATAGGTTTGAGGATGGGAAATGCTCATGTGGAGACTACTGGTAATTGTATTTTTGTGGCAGCAAACGTGACATTTGTTGTATAGATTTTTTTCACTCACCACATACATCTATAACAATGTTTCAACGAACAATTGTGGAGTTGTTTTAATTAAACATTCATATACAAAGCACCACTAACCATTGTGCCTGCATTGCTGCCAATAGAAAAGATTAACTGCAATCAAATCTTTACAGGAAGTTCACGAAATGTCCACCAAAAATTACAGCCCTTATGAGTTATGACAAGTTGACAACATAACCATTTCTATAAACATGTAAAGAACTAGACGCTGCAATATGGAAATCTGTTGTTCCTTCTGTACTCCTAGTAATGGATGTACTCCTAGTAATGGATACCGATGGTAAGGGTTAGGGAATCCCCATCCTAAAGTGATCGAAATTCAATGATTGATTGTTTATTGCAATTAATCTAATTATACAACTAGGAAATCTTATAAACTTGTAATTGTAATATACTGATTCTCAAAAATCCTAATATCCATTTTACATAGGCTCTAAGGCTCTTGCCTCAGCAGCCACTTCAACTCTAACACGCTTGGTTTCCCCTTTCTCTTCTGATTTTGATATCATTTTATGAAATTTAACCATTGATTTTAACATATTGGTGAATTCACCTACTCATCTCTTGTAATTTTGAGTGGGTTAAGGACTTAGGGTTTCATAGCATCTCCTAGTTCATGGATCCAAAATCGTTTGAAGCAGCATCTTCGAGCATCATTGAAGGATATTGCAACAGGATCGCGTGATGGAGGAAACTTCCTCATCCAAAAGCATGGGCGTGTTAGAATTCTTCAACCAAAACATTAATTTCTAAATCAACTAGATAAATTGTGATAATTTTTACAAATATACTTGTGCATGTATTGATGTATATATACTTTATGAAAAATATCAAATGGGGTTTTTTTTTTTTTTAAAGAAAATCAAATGGGGTCTTATTAAATTTGTATTATGTGTATTTTCAAATGTGAAAACTTTATAATATTTTTTTATTACCGAATTATAGATAATTAGCAAAAAAAAAAAAAAAAATTGCACATAAAACGATAATATTTTTCCTGATATTGTTTAAAATAAGAAATTTAGTCCTAATACTCTTAAACATAGCCTGAGCTTTGACCGTGCATTTAGCATAAATTTTTGTTTTTTTTTTTCCCTACAAAAATATAATGATATAATTATATTATTTGTGGATGTTCTATTTTAAAATTATGTAAAATCCTTTCTAAAGCGGAATGTAGCTCGTGTAGGCTAATTTCTTCGCCTCTATTAGAAATGATCATAATATAATATTGGGTGCACCAAATGCTAGATACCATATGTTTATATAACAGATAATTATTAAGAGAACGAGAATGATGGCCTTCAAACATAAAAAGTCGTACTCGTCCTGTACTATTTTCAATTTTTTTTAGTCAGTACACTTTGACTTTTAACACTGTTCAAAAAATTTCCTTGACTAGCACTAATAATGTATATTTACGACAAAAAATAATTATGCCGAATTTTGTTATAACGTGTCAATTATATTTTCATAATATCTACTCTTACACGGTTACACATTCACTTATTGATAATTATAAATATTTCGAGTAATTGTGAAACTTGTGTGATTAAAAAAAAATGTCAATTTAAAAAATTAAAAAAATAAAAACTTGCGCGGGGGGGGGGGGGGGGGTGGGATAGTACTTTGGAAAATATAGTACTACAAAACTGGAAGACAGTAAAATGTTGGTACATGTCAAAACTGAAAAAAGGTTCGTTTTTATCCAAAAATTAATACTACGTATAAACAAAGAAAATTGCCATGAGGAAAACATTCCAGCACCGAAAGTAAAAGAGTTGAAATAGATGCAATGATACTCTAAAATTAGTGGTTTCTTTTCACAAAGGGAATGAAGTAATGAGACAAGAGAACGATTTAGAGCCAAAGTTTTTCTACCCTTCTTTTTTCATATCCCTTTTTATAAAGGTACAAGGTAAGATAGAAGTAGAATAATTTCAACTAAATAGTGAACAACTATCACCTCGCTAAATTCTCAGCATCTAACTATGCTATCCATTACCAAAGTGATTGTACAAAGGCAACAACAAAAAGCACCACCTATCTCGGAGTTTATCTATTTGACCGCGTATGGAACCTCATCGAAAAATTTAGATACAAACACTATACAACATCCCAACATACAACAAACCCAATTTCATCAAAGAAGCCATGACTAAACTGAAATGATAAATCCTAAACAATATAGTACTTCATGTTATTACCGGTTGAAAGATTAGATTACCAAGTTAATGAGATTTTGTGATTTGCTTTTTTTTTTTTCTACTCAATCCACCTTAAATTTAACCGGGATTAGAAATTGTTTGACCAAAAGAAATATGAGAGAAGGCATTTAGTTTACAAGATAACCAAATTATACGAAGTATAACCAAAAGAAAAAATTAATCTGCCAATAGGGAAGAAATCAATAGCTTTGAAGATGTACAAAAATAGCACCATGTTAATGGTTTACAGAATGAGGCAATGAATTCAATGGAAAAGAGATGGAAGATACATGAGATATATAGTTTCTTTAATGAAACATATTGCTAAGCATACAAAGCAAAATTGACTAGGCCAAGGCCAAGCCTTTCAAAATAATGGCCGAGAAGCACCATGGTTCATAAGAAACATGGTGCAACAAGATTTTACCCTTTCTAACTACATTAGCAAGAATAGTCAGAATGAATATCATTCAACTAACAAAACAGAAAAAAAAATAGCATACTTCTATCTGCTTACCTTGCTCCATTCTTTCTGCTACCTATATCTTGCCTCGTTGCTACCAATCAAAATCCAGAAAGCAAAGGACAAGTAATATTATCATTATTTAATATCTTTCTGCCATATCCACTACTTCAGCTTGTGCGTTCGAATAAGAACTGTCAACCACTGATGAAACAGAACCTCCAACCTTCTCTTTAATGTCAGTAGGTGATTCTTTGACAAGTGACTGAACCCAAGAAAGATCAGGCTCTTCACCATTGTTGCCAAGCTCAAAAGACGAAGATCTCCTGAGTTTACCCAATTCATCTGTGTTTGTACCCCAGTCTGGCTTACCGTTGGAGGAACCCCATCTTGACCAAGAATGAACAGGAGAACCCACAATGGCACCCAAGCTGGTTCCAAGATCCCGAGAGCTGAGACTGCGGAACTGATGAAGTTGTTGCTCCCGTTGAGCAAGCATAGAAGCCCGAGCACTCATTGGGGAGATGGGTTCCACACTTCGAGGAGACATTCTTCCTGACAGTAATGGATGGTCAGCTACACCCTTAGGCGAGAAATTTGTGTTGATTGGAGAGAGCATGCCTTGCTGCTGTTGTTGAAACTGGTTGAAAACAGCAGATTTATGAGTAGGCGAGTAAAGACATGAACCCAGTCCTGGATCATTGTACCGCGGAGACAAGCTTTCAGCAGAAAAAAGATCATCCAGGTTAGAAGGGTTCAGAGTTTTTGAGCGGTTAGAGCGGTTTAAAGAATTAGGGTTCATAGAAAGGCAAGAAAATTCACTCAGGAGCTGTTGTTGCAAGTCATAATCTTGCAGCATTTCAAACTCTTCAGCTGCAATATCTCTTGCATTAAGAGATGACCTCAACCTACTGGACTGAAGATTGCTGCCTGGAAGACGCAAAGACGGAACATTTGGCTGTGGCCAAGCCAAGGAAGAATGAGAAATTCCATTAGCAGCTGAAGGTGACATTGGTGGAGTGAAAGCAGAAGGAGACATAAGAGATGAGGGAGATCCTGGCATAAAGTTCATAGCAGCAGCAAAATCCATAGAACTAGAAGCGCTTGAGCGGGGAGAGGGAACAGCAGAACCAGTAGACACATAAAGTGGTCTCAGTTCCTCAGGTATATGAGCAAAGAAACAAACTCTTCTAGCGCAACTTGGGCCATCCTTGCAGAGACGTGTCCTATATTGAGCTGGATGGAGCCAACACTCAAAAACCCCATGAGCATATTCACACATATCCCCTCTCCTACAAGCTCCTTTTCTAAAATCAGGGCAAGGAACACAGCTGTAATGGTACTTCCGCGGATCTCTCCTCCTAGCATTTTCACCTGGATGAACAAAAGGGCATTCTGTCCAATCATGAGAATAGGCACGAGAACAAGGACGAATCTTGAAGGAGTACATACGGAATTCATCAGTTGCATAAATGCTGTTCTTAATATCAGGTATGGATGGATCAATGGGGTATTCTTTCTTCTCAGATGTGTATGATGTAGCTTGGATATCATCAAACTTTGAGTTAATTGGTGAAGGTGGTGAGTCTGAGTAAGACGATGGAGATCCGTTCACTGGTGAAGATGAGAGTGGTGGTGAGTTTGAATTAGAAGTGGTGCTTGACAGCCTCAAAATGCGCTCACTAATAGAACCATGACCGGCAAGGAGTTCTTCAAGAGCAATTTTAACATCATTTTGCCTTGGTGAGACCATAATAACATCAAAAGGCCGATGTCCATTGGCATCAAGTGCATTATGATCAGCACCTGCCTCCAGAAGCAGCCTCACAGCATCAACAGCATTCATAGAACCACCAGATGCAGCACAGTGTAGTGCAGTGCTTTTATCCTCACCACATGACCGGTTTACATCAGTGATGGAGAGAGAAAGAATCAATTTCAGAACATCCATACTGCCGTAAATTGAAGCAACCATCAAAGGAGTTCTATGCTCATAGACCATCTGTTTGGAGCCTTTTTTCCGGACATACCACAACCCAGGCTCATCAATTCCAGACGGATCTTCTTCAATCAACCTTTTAAATGCTTCCACATCATTATTTGCAGAGACTTCAAGCAAGCTTGAAAATGCATCTACGGTCTCAACAGTCAAGTTATTCATGTCTTTGACAGAAGGCAACTAACAAAGAGAAGGAAATGCAGGCCAGAATTCAACAGGTTCCAATCACCCAACTTTACAGCGCATGATATGACTATCTAGACTTCCATCTGCAACAATATAAACCACAGCCATAATTAAACATCAAACCCTAGTACTCGGAAGCATGGAGGGAAACATATAAAAGACAACGAGTGCTACAAGCGAATG